TCTTATTTTAAAAATAATATGTATAGAATGTGATTATAACTACATATCATATTGGTTTTTTTTTTTTTTTTTTTTTTGTAATGTTGGCTTGACAGTGTATTAAATCAATTTGGTTCATGCCAAGTTCACCACGTAACGGCTTCTGATAAAATTTGTAAATTCTTTTAATCTTAAATCAGGTATCCATTGATTTTTTTTCCTAACACATTAAAAAGTTAACTTCATTTGTTATTATATATAGAGATTATAATTTTGTCATTATATATAGAGATTATAATTGGTATATATCAATTCACCTAAATTTTTATTATATAGAACATAAATCACATAATTAAATGCGATAATGTGTTTTCTAGAAACACGTAGTTACAAAAAAAATCAAAGACGAGTTTGCATATGCTTTAGAATTACAATTTCCAATGAGTATTGACGGAATTAAGACTTAATTATGTGTAAAATCTTTTATTTTTTGTGTTTAAAGTTTTCTTATATTATAACAAGATTAAGGATATGACTTTTAATATTATTATTATTTTAAATCTTAAATTGGGGTGTGTTTCCGCCACATAATATATTACTTAAGAAACTCCATGACCACCCAGGTATTAAACACTAAACATTCATATTTGATGCCACTGAATCCGACTCTAGTTGCCAACTCGATGGATTCATGCTGTGTCCTTTCCTTCCCTCCATGGTTTTTAATCATAATAAACACATCCCTCTTAGCAATGGCCCTTGAAGCAATATCTTTCTTGGGCAAATTTGGGGCGATTGCATCCACAATGATTACTTGTCCATTGTCAGGTGTGGCACCGTAACAATTTTTCAACAGTTTAACACAAAGATCAGCACTCCAATCATGTAGTATCCACTGCAAATTCATTTCCAAAATATTACATCTTCAAAGATTTAATATTGTAATCTCTAATGTTGCATATCAATTAAGAAGCTTGATACATGCTAATATTGTAATCTCTAATGTTGCATACCAGGGTAAAGAGGGGCGTGCTGAACAACACGAGGCAAGTCGAAATTAATTCCCTTGATGAAAGGGTATTTGGAAGTGATGAAGCTGAGAGTGACTCCTAGACCACCACCAACTTGAACTAATCGGGTGAGGTGCTCAAATCCTTTGTGGGACTCAAGGATCTCCCTAATACCAATAGCGGTATAATTGATCATTGCATTATTAAAAACTTGATTGAATCTGGAGTCTTTGGCAGCGTATTCGAAGGCATGAGTTCAATGGACCTTTTCAAATGGAGTACTTCCACCTTCAACAATTGCATCCTTCAATTGAGACCTAATAAGTAATAATGATGAAAACCAATTAATTAGAAAGGAAAAGAAAAAACTAGGTTAATGCGAATTTTGGTCCCTCAATTTTAGTGTTTTATATAGTTTCGATCCTTAACTTTTTTTATGCACTTTTTTTGTTCCTCAAGGACCTCAACTATAAAAAATGCATTTTTTTTAGTTATTCAGTTAGTTAGTCCGTTAAGTTTCTTTATACATATACATTTTTAGTCCTTTAATTTTAGGATTTTATACAATTTTTGTTCCTTAACTTAAAAACTCATTAACTAAAAATGTGCATATATAGACATATTTAACGAACTAACTAACAGAAAAATTTTAAAAACACATTTTTTATAGTTGACGAACCAAAAAAGTGTATAAAAAAGTTGAGGAACTAAGAGCATATTTGGTATAGTGGTTAAAATTCAACAAATAGTAGATAACGAACAGTGAGTAGCAAGTAACGAGTAACGAGTAACGAGTAATAAATAGTAGATAGTGGTAACGAGTAGCAATTAGCGAATAGGGGGTGGTAGATAACAAAAGGTGGATAATAGATAATAGATAAGATATTAAATTAATATAATTGTTTAATTGTATAATAGTTAGTGGTTATTGTTCAACATTAAATGATTAATAAAAGTGTATTTAAAAATAATTAAGTATGTTTCATATATTTTTTTATTATTAAAATTATTAATTTTATAAAAATAATAATAAAATAGAACAAATTATACTAGTATAATTACACACTAATTTTCTATTTTTAATAAGAAAAAGTATTATTTTTTAAGTACAAAAAAATTTAACATTTTCATCTAATTAATAAAATTTGTTTATTAAG